ATCCTTTCAGGGTTGGCACTCAGAACCATAGAACATTCCCAGGAGGGCCCATCCTGTACAAGCTAGGTGACCAACAAGCAAGTCACCAAACTGGTCTAAAAGGGTCAGAACGAACTTTTCCAGCTTGCAAGCTTTTATTTTCATTTTGTGTGAAGCGTAAATCAAACACCATCCATAGCAAAGGGCTGAAGATAGAGCTAAAATTTAATATTGCTTTTCTTTCAAAATGAATACCAGTTGCAAGAAGAAAATAGGCAAAGCATTTGATCAAACAGCTGGGTCGAACAGTTTCTTCAGATCAAAATGAAGTAGCTATCCAGGATGCTCTGTGACTACATAATCTATGTTTAAGTTAGACTGGTTTCTGACAGCTTCCTTAAAAACACGGTATCCTCTTCCTGTTTATAGTAGGTTGATTCAATTTTTAATGCCACAAGTGAGACCAATACCAAAAAGCATGTTACTCAAACATACCTTCATATTCATATTTGAAAGCATGGGAAACTGGATCCCCTGACTATGCCCAGAATTTGCATATTTTAACACTAGCAGGTGAAAAGGGGGGTCTGATTGTTTGATGCAATACATTTTTTGCAGTTCTCAAGTACGAACAGGCATTCATGACATAACAGAAAATAAGTAAAGGCTTAGAATGAGCTTATATTTTGTGGCCAAAAATCAAAAACAAAAACAGTTTACTGCCTAGTAATTAAATGAAAAGGGGACTATAGGTGACTGGTTGAGGTGGTAGGTAGCTAAGGGCAATATCTGAAGAACCAAGACCAAAATATGCCAAGTACTTATGCTTTAATAAAGAAATAATAATTAAAATATACAAAAACATTGACCTAGGAGGCCACCTAAACTGAGTTCTGACTGGGATCTGTGATTTTTCTTGCCAGAGATCACCTACCCCAGTGCAAAATTGCTGTCCTCCTTCCAGTCCACGATGCGGCAGATGAACAGTGTGTTGGCATAATCTTTAGGCCGGGTCACAAAGTCCTGGGGACAGTCCTTGAGAGGCACATAAATTCTAGGCACTCGGTGGTCCGAGGGAGAAAACAGGGCATATTTCCTAAACAGTTCACTGTTCTTATCAGTCAAGAGTTTGAGAAAGCCAGTTGCTGCTCGGGAATGTTTTTTCTCCAAGATGTAAACCACCTGAAAACACCAAAGATAGAGTCAGTGTTGTTTATCTACAGGACTGGGTAACAGCTGGGGAAGTCAGCAGGCTATGTGGCCAGCTAGCTGAGTCCAGCAGTATCTTTAGGCTCAAATGAAGTGCCTCTCACTCATGCTCTGTGACTAAGTGATCTATACTAAAGTAATCCAACAACTTAAGTACTCAAAGAGCACATCTATCCCAGGAAAACTATGCAATAAATGGATGAATTAGACAAAAGTGCTTTTATAACCAAGACCTATGTCTTAAGGAGGTGAGTAAGATTCCAGCGGGAAGCTGGAACCAGGTATTTGTTCTGCATTACATTTTTCTCACGTGAACTATGCCAGTACCTCACATGTTCCACCCCCTTCATCAGAATTATTTGCCAACGTTCTACTTAGTTCCCTGAGCAAAGGTGGAGACTGCTGTTGAGGTGGCTGCTGCTCTGACTCCATGTGGAGGGTTCAGCCTACCTACTGAGAACCTCCAAACCAGTTAACATGCCTCAGGTGCTCCTGGCCACTGCCCCATAGGAAGTGCATTACAGCACCTTCTTCTCACCCCATTGCAGTCCCATTATCTGCTCTATTTTCTTCCTAGCTTTCTTTCCTCCTTAGAAAGGACCATTCTATTTTGAACAAACTGTTGTGCCCTCTTTCAGGAATCCTCTACTCTCTCCTTGCATGTGCTTGTCTGTCACAAGGACTCTGTGATATCTGGCTTACAGTCAGCCTCTCCCAGCTTCATCCAGGTGAAGGACTCAGCCAACATCTTATCTCTACAGTTCCTCTCTTTCATGCCAATGGCCTTCACTTCCATTCAATTTCAGCAACTCAACCTTATGGCCACACCTCAGCATCATCTGGAAGTGGTCCAATCCCAATCACCACAGACTGACCCATCCTCCAGCCCTGTATGCTCCTGTGCCCCTCCATGGACTTTTTCACCTCATCAAGATGACTAGTGCCTTGACCCTTGCTTGTTCTCTATGTCTATTAGTTGCTTCTTAGCCCTGAATCCTTTCCTAACTCCAAGAGACACCATGTTCCATCATTTCAAGTCCTCTTACCTATCTCATCAAATGCCTCACTCCCCCCTTATCCTTCCATTACACCCACTCTAAAAAATCCTCAATTCTGGAACAATTCAGCCACCAAAATTCTCTAGCCTTAAACACAAGCTATTGAGTCCACCAGCAAAGAAGAAAATCAATTAGACAGGAAAGAAGAGTCCACCAGCAAAGAAAAGAATCAGTTAGACAGATGGGTACCATTACACATTAATGTTATGTCACTGTTGCCACGACCTCAAAATCTCAGGTAATTTATTTGTTCCAAGTCAGCACAATCTATTCTTTAAGCCCCACTCTCTCTGTCTGATACTCCAGTTATTGAATGTTGAGGCACTGCCCATTTTTTCAGTCTATTTTCTCTGTGTTCAAATTGGGTAAATCCTATTGATCTGTCCTCCAGTTAACCAGTTCTACACTGAGTCACTGCTACT